AGTACATGTGTACCTAATAAAGTGGCTGTTCAGTGTAGAGATATGTGGGTCCTCAGCTAAATAAAACTTTGTTTTTAAGATAATCAGATCGTCTTCTTGAGATTCAGATCTTGTTCCAACAAGATACTGGGAGAAAAGAAGACCAGTATGGGGAAATAACAAGGTAAACCAGGAAGAAATTAATTCACACAGAAAATTCTTCATAATGTATTTTGTACATTTTCCAGTGTCAGGATTTGATTCTGTTGACAATAATGAAATTGTATTGTTACTGAAGTTATTCTGTTTGTTTTCATACACTTTAACAGGCCACCCTAGTGGTGGTGTGTGTGTGTGTTTGTGTGCTTTTTTTTTTTTTTGTTTTTTGGGGGGGGGGTTTTTTAGGGACAACTATTTAGGGACAAGATACTGTGCCACTAGGATGTGTGTTTAGTATCTCCTATGAATTCACTTAGAGCACTGTGGATAAAACATTTATCGCTCTTGCAGCACCATCATATCATTTCCTGTTTGTCTCCAAATGATCCGTCCCAAGCTCCACCACTCAACCTCCCCGAATGACTTCCAGAGAGATTTGTCATGCCACAGGGAGGGACTTGTGCAGTTTGCTCTCGGCTCTTGCATGTATTCAATCAATCACCTTGTAATCAGATGGCAGTGTATTTGTGAAATTCCTTCTGCAATCATCTCTGTTGGCTTGTAACGGGTGGGCCACGGAAAAGTAGCCCGCCTCCAGTGTTAGGAGCTAGGTACTTGGGCCCGGAGCCCTAAATACCTAGCTCCTAACACTGGAGGCGGGCTACTTTTCCGTGGCTCACCCTGTACAATAAGGGAGAGTGCAGCAGATCAGTTTTGTCCCCCCGTGAGGCCTGGCTCAGATGTCTGCTCTGGCGGGGCTGTCTGTTGTGAGCTGGTGCAGGGCTTTGTCTCGGCCTTGCTTTTGCTGGATCATTAGTCCTGTTGTTGACCTCCAGCAATGGAGGATCCTCGATGACCACAGTAGAGAAGTGTTGGTCTAAATTTGATGCACCGTCCCCCCCATACAAATCACTCCTGCAGTGTTTCTCTCGCTCCACCTGTCTCCTTTCACTCTTCTCATTTTCCCCTTCTGTCATAGTGGTGACGGTTTCTTCATCTCCGCAGATGTACGTCTGACATTTACATTAAAAAAGCAATTTCTCTCTCCTTCTCCATTTTAGTAAATGCCACTGAGTTAATTTGACCCGAACCGTTAAGTCATTATGACAAACGGAGACTTAAGTCGACAGTAAGAACATCACACCTGGATACCTAGGTGTACTATGTAACAATGGTGATTGTTTTTAAGAGAAGGCCTTTTGTTACATAACATGATATTTGCACTGGTGCTCTGAAGTGGCACAGGGTCTGCTGAGCCAACACATCTTATCTTACTGTCATGGGTTTGTGTCATATGGTGTACAAAAACAGATCCGGCTAAATGCTCGCCCACTGTTAAAGCTTTCAGATATTATCTTCTCAGCATGAGCTTTATGAAGGCGCTCTTTTGTCACCCGCTGCCTGCTCTCTGCTGGGTTATATTAATCAATAATAAGCCTTTGTAGTGTGCAGTGGTAGTAAAAGGCTATGATTTAGGAGGTGAAATGCATGGTTTCCATGACTCATTTGGTCTTTATGTCACTGTCGGTCTGTTTTCCTATTCCTGATGAATAATTAACATTTACAAGGTTTTTTCCTTCCACAGACAAACTAAAGCTAGTTGTTTTTTTTTAATTATTTATTTTGAATAATCTGGGGACTAACTTTCCAACTCATTTGTCAGTGTGACAGTTATTTTCTTATTTCTGTTATTTAGAACAATAAATAAAAAAAATGCATAAATCTGCACCATGTTATAACAACAGTTTTAAAATATGTTTAGGCAAATGCTTGTAAATTGCAGATTATCTGTGTTCAGGGGGGAGTGCAGGCTTTCTCTCATCTTTTCATAATATCTGTGTCTGAGCTATATCTGCTTATGATGAATTTCTATTGCACAATAATGCCTCATTATGTCTTGGGAAAAATCCACTTCATCACAATAATCATTTCTTTGTATTTTGCCTTTTTATGCCTTTGAGCTGTCGATACTGTAGCTGCAACCAGACGCATTATATTTTTGGGTTGTCTGTACGTCCTTCTGGTCGGCTCTTTCTTGTGAATGTCAGGAATATGTTGAGGGATTTTCATCAAATTTACAATTGGAATGAAGGATGTACTAATTTGATTTTGGTGGTTAAAGGTCAAGGTCACAGAGTCCTCACTTCTGTGCCATTCCTGCAAACTTGGCTTAGCAGTATTTCTAGTTATTTTCAGAATTTGGGGTATTTCTAAAATGTCCTCAGACTTGTAAAAGTTATTAATTAGTATAGAATAGAATCATAATGATGTTTCAAGTCAGTCCAAATGCCCCAAAGTTTTTTAATTAACAAATTAAAACAGAAAATTGTCAGATTTAATGAAGCTGAAATTGGCTAAAATGGAATGAATTAACAGTATCATCACCGACACACATTTTCTGTCAGTCAACCACTAGATTCACACACTCATGGAACTGTAAATGCCCAGTGTAAATACCTAGAGGTGGCACAGAAAGCTGAGTTTTAAGTGCATTGTTGTCACTGAGGCTTGCATAGTGTTTATGCTGCTTACTGTTTTTACTAACGCTGTGCGTGTCCTCCCGCAAAACAACAAAATGTCAAACCAGCCATGTGCCTGTCGTTCCACATTTTTGTGTCACCACTTGCAGACCACCTACTGTATACGTGTGCAATTTCACCCATCTTTGTTTTGACATGCCAGTGTGGCCCTGGAAGGCTAATGGTGCGCTGAATTAGCCAGCAATGCCACACAGTAGTTAGGGAGGTTTAACCCAGTGATCCCTGCTTGAACATGAGCTCTAAATCCACACAGCTGACATGGGGCCATTCACTGGGACATTGCTAATCACTACTGCTTGTCCCCTCGTGCAGTTTTTACTCAACACGCTCGTTCTGGGTCTGGCCTTAAGATGGCTTGTGAATAATGAATATTTGGTTTGGAAATATTAAGTGTCGGCGTCTATAAGAGTGCGTGACTCAGATAATCAGTCAACCATGTGGTCTTTCTCATATTGGTTCACTTTTGAAATATTTTAATCAGAATACTATTGACACCTAAAATGAAATGTATTTATTCTAGGTTGATTGACCGGGGAAAAAAAGAAAAAAAAATGAAAAGCTTTTAATGGGGAAAAAGTATACATTAACATTATCACAGGTCTGTTAAAAAGGAAGAAAATTAAACAATATTCAGTGAAGTGCAGGGACTAAAAGCTGCACAGGAACAGAGTAAATTACATCAAACCAGCATTTCTTTCCTCCTCAGTTTCTGGTCTGTCAGAGTTCTGTCTCCATAGATCAGAAGCTGGTGCATGTAAGATGCAGGTACCATACATTCTTTTACCACGGACACATGGATTACTTCAACGTTTAATGGGACACTCTTATGTGCACAGGTTTTTAAAAAAAAAAATTTTTTTTATTCACTTATTTTTTGTTATAGGTGGTTCCACCCAAACATCACCGGAATTGAGGCAGAGCAGCTCCTGCTGACCCGGGGCGTCCATGGCAGTTTCCTGGCCCGACCCAGCAAAAGCAATCCAGGGGATTTCACCCTCTCTGTCAGGTAAGTCCTCACCTACATTATTTAGCTGCCTCTGCAAATTCTTTTTTGTTCACAATCATCTCTCTTCTCACCAGTTTAGAGTTCAGCCATGAGAGCAAGTAAAGCTCTAGTGTAGTTATGCTGAGAGACCAGTGGGGAAAGTGGTTCCAGTTACATTTTTGGCACTTGGGGCCCTATTTTGACCATCTAAAGTGCACCTTTTTGGGCACAACAATCAAGTGCGTACAGGGCATGTCCAGACCAATTTTGACGGCACAAAAAGTACATCTCTGTCAAGTAGCTGTTTTAAAAGGGCTGGACTTACACTCTTAATTAACCCATGGGTGTGTTTTGGCGTAACGTGCAATAAGCCAATCAAAATGCCATCTCCACTCACTTTAAAAGGCAGTCCCACTGTTACCATGGCGGATAGCTATTATCATGGTGGATTTACCTGGAGGGAGACAGAAGTAATTTAAATACCTACGTGTAGAGCCACGATTGCTCAATCTGCCATTTGCATTGGCCATTACAGTGACAAAATAATTCTGATACATAATATTAACATCCTTTACAACATGTTTTAAAATAACGTGTTGTAAAGGATGTTACAGGATGTTACAGAATTTTGATTCTGAAAGCATTCTGTTTTTAATCTGTAGCTTTTTGGTGTTGCTGCTAAAATGCCAAAAAGTGGCAAGCAACATGTCCACACCTTGTGCACCTGCTTAGGCACGCGTGTATTACTAACTTGATCCAGTGCCTTTTTAAAATGCCAAACTGTTGACTTAGACCAGATTTTTTTGGTCGCTAGTGCCGCTTCCTACTGCTTCCTCAAGATACTAAGTGCGCCAAAGCATGCCTACAAAGACCCCTTGTTTACATCGACACTCCCAAGGGAACAAAAGTGTATGTGGCATCTTGATGGCGAGGGTGCTAGGAGGGAAAAAGGACACAGCGTCAGGTGCAAGATAGGATATTACACTTTGACACTGGACTGTACGCCTGCCTGTTGTTATACACAGTGAATTAAAGTGTGTCCAGCTGTATAGGTATTAAACCCTGGATAGCTACAACAGTACACAAGAGTGCAATAGGTCAGATGCCGAGTACTGCTAAGATAACTTTTGACCATGGATTTAGCCATGTTTCAGTCTGAGAAGGAGTGCTGTGCTGTCTAAGGGCAACAGTTCACCATTCAAGAGCCGGGGAGGCCATTCACGCATAAAGTTACAACGTAGTTTGCTGTATCAGCAGAGTTGTAAACTTGTGCAAATACCACTACAGTGTAACGGGGTGCTTTTTGAATCTGTTGAGCTCCGTGGAGGGTGCAGGACCTGGTCTCATTCACAGTGAAAGGCAGCTGTCACTGGTCCAGCCTTTTGAATCTGTACATGTGAATGTACCATTAAGAGTCTCTGAAATGTCCTCTCGTCAACAAGTGATGGAACATTGTGGATAATTTAGATGACATTTAAGTCCAAGTTGTTCTGTGTTGACTGTTCTTTTGAACATTCAGGTAATACAGTTGGAAAGTGCAATCTGGTATCATTTGACACAGACGGAGTAGAAAATCAGCATTTGGGCAGCAAGTTGGAGAATTGCTAAGTTGGTCATTCAAAGCTTAAAACATGCTTCTCATCTCTATTTGAGAACTCTGGTGTGTTGCAGAGTGTGAGTTCTGGTAAGAAGGACTCAGCACTACATGCTGTGGTGATTACAGAGAGCAGGAAATAGAGATGGAAGGAGAGGACATTTAAAGAGCAGCTCTTCCTTGCAATGGAAGCTTTTAAGAGATACATCAGTCGGCCAAAGAGCCTGGACAGAAGCCCAGCACATTTGTTACTCTGACTGTAGCTGTAGCTGGCATGGCAACGTGGGCAGGGAGTGGCTGTGTGTGTTTGTGTGTGCGCAAGAGACAGACACAGAAAAAGGAAAAGCTTTTGAATAATAGGAGTGTGACTTTAAAGCTCTGACCTTCACTTCCTGCGTGTGTGGTGCAGTTGTAAATGGCACACCACAGGAAGGTTGGTGGGGTGAGTTGTAGCCACTGTTTGTGGTTTGACAGACTGACATGTTTACACACACATATACCGAGGTCAAGTGGCCAGCATGCGGAGCCTCACCACATGCTAGCGTGCCAAGAGGAACAAAGAGTTCATATTAGAGTGAGACTAACATTCTTTCGAAAGAAGAAATAACTGTCTTCCTCTTGCAAATGAAATATTGACTTCATAAGCAAAATATTAGAATATATTGTTAGCTAAGATATCATGCTACCTGAATCTTGCTGCATTTAAACATACACGGTCTTATCACAGCAGAGGAGAAGCTAATTAGCAGGGTTTCATCTTACTGAGGCCATTATTAGCAGGACAGTCACTGAATGTGCAGATTGGAATGGATGCTGAGGGACCCTGTCCATCCCTCTCTCTGCCTCTCCACGTCTTATCTGCACCAACTCTCCTCTTCTCTGGTTCATGAGGCGAACAGAAAAAGGAGGGGTCAGACAGAGCTGCTGCTCAAAAGCGTCTGAAAGCTGAAGTCTGGGGCACTAATGAGAGCTTTGTGAGGGTTCTGAAAATGTAATCAATTCAGAGTTTCATAAAATTCAAAGGAGAAAGTTTGGAGCAGAAAAACTCCGGCCGTACTCGTAAGGAGAGCAGTCTGGCCAAGCTTTCTCCATCATTTTTCATGCTCTTTACACACACTCAACACCCTGAAGAGGAATTTAAGGGCAATCTTAAGAGAGAATTTTCTAGGATAAATTACCACAGAGAGCAAATGGATTTTCTCCTAACTTCTGTGTTGTATAATGCGAGCCACGATTTACTTCCACTGAAGCCGGAAAGAGCTTTTCACTATCATTATTTTGGATGTCAATCTGTAGATGTTAATTGTATTTAAACTGCATTTTCCTTCACTTGATCTGCATGTCAACAAGGACATGTCTGTGTTTCTGCTTTCCTTACAAATGTCAACAGTCAGGCCAATTGCATAAACAGTACACAACAGCTGAACAATGGCTGCTGCTTTGTTTAAGAAAGAGTTTGTTGAAACAACTGAAATTAAATCTCTCCACTGCAATGCTAGCTAATGTTAGCTAGGTTCATATGCTGTACAGATACAGTAGCATTGGAACACAAATGGTTTCTCAGTGTATTCCTTCACGAATTATTGATGGCGGTTGTTACTCAGCTTTTATCTTTATGAAAGTTTGTTTCTAGAATAACTAAAATGAGACCATTTCAGTGCAAAGTGCAGATTATTTTACTTCGCTCATTCATCACAGTGTCTGATCCCATTGTCATCATTAAGCACATTGAACATAAATTTTCAAATTCTACACAAAGACTTGATTTAAATATCAAGTTTGTATATAGGCAGCAGTTGATGTTGCCAATGTTTGGTTGGCATCTATTTGTATGTGTGCTATATTTTCTTTTTCCTTGTCTCAGATTGCCCAGTCCTCAGAAATGAGCATACTGCAGCTAAATTGTGGACGTATGCAGTTCAAAACCATGTCTGCTGTTGACTAGATGATTCATTTGATGTGATGTTTCTGCAGCCTCAGGACAAACGGTTGAGATGGATGGCACACTAACCTGATTTCACATCCTGAAATTTGAACATGCCTCATTTAGGGCTAAAATCAGTGTAGCAGTCTGTAGAGATCTAAATACTGTTTAGGCTCATTACTAAAACTTTCTATTTTGCAAGCTTGAGTGTTGAGGGATTTTTAACACGTACAGTAGATTTGTTTACTGTCCTGGCTGTTGCGCTGCAGAGGAATGACAATACTAGGTGAAGATGGAGACGCTGTGCAGGACTGACATTATGTACCGTACCTCTGTGCTTCTGCTCAGTCGGTCCTGTCAGTGCACTCCAGTTCACAGAATAAATGCGGATGAAGACTCAAGGACTTTTTTTTTTTTTTTGCTTAGCAATTTTGTTTTTTCTGCCATATTATTAGAACATGTGTATATACTGGATTTTCTTCTTGTCAAGCTGAACATTTACAGTTATTCACAGTTTGATTTGGAATATAGTGAAATTAAATTTGTATTTGCTGACAGAAAAAAGTAAATAGATGTGTATTACTACATTCTCAACTGTTAAAGGTCTAAATATTGTTAATAAAGTGAAAACAAGGGGCAGCCGATACATAGGATTTTTCCCCCACAGTAAAAAGTCAAACATTTATTTATGCATTCAGTTTGTCAGTGCTGATGTTAAACTGAAGTTGTACCTTAAGAAGGCTGTTGTGTGGTTGGTACATTGTTAGAAGGGTACCTTTACAAAGAGACCTAGTAATTATGTAGTATTTCAAGAGGTTTTGCTCAGTAATTGCTAAAAAGAACTGTAGGAATGATGCTGACCTTGCGTCCATGTGTTCTAAGACCGTCATATTGTAAAAAAATCCATAAAAGATTGTCAGTGTCTGAGAGAGAGGCAGAGCAGGGAAGTGAATGAAAATCTAATAGGATGCGTTTGGCTCATTGCAGAGGTGATGGTGTTAAACTTGGAGAGAAAAGGGGGCTTTGGCCTGAGAGCTGAGAGGCCTTTAGCAGTGCCAGAGACCTGTGGCATTCTGCCAGTAGCAACTAATAGAGCCATAAAGCAATTACCGGGAAACGCTGAGAAAAAGGGGTGGAGGCAGAGAGATGGATTATAGGACAAATAAATGCAAGAATGGAGAGGATTTACAGTATGTTGAGTGGAAGGATGGGATGAAAAGATAAAAATTTATGTGAAATTCACAAGGACAACTA